CCCGCCTCGGCCTCCCAAAGTACTGGGATTACAGGCGTCAGCCACGGCGCCCGGCCTCTTTGACGATTTTAAATTAAATTATTTGCTGGAGGTTTTGGGGACCATACAGATAGAGTCAATTTCAGCTGCAATCTTTTATGGGACTAAGGGTAATTATGAAGTCTCAAACGAGGTTTTTTCCTCCTTCCACCTATTGTCATGGTCAAGGTAGATATGTTTTCTTGCTGTCCACTTCTATATGGTGGGCTTATTTATCCTTAACCTTTTCCTGTTGGAAAGCCCTTTGGAACTTTGTGTCTCAACTTTGTGTGGAATCCCCTGTTAGATTACCTACCGTGAGCAGATCTTTTTGTCTTCCATCCTCTGTATTCTTAGAACTGAAGTTTGGGGTCTTCAGGAATCTGCAGTTATCCTTAGGGCAAAAACTGCCTTTGCTGTCTTAACTCTGGGGGGTTCCTGCTTTGACTTCACTTTAGCCACTGTGGTTTCTTTTTGCCACTCAGTTGTTTGCATTGTATTTTTTTTTGAGACAGTGTTTCACTCCATCACCCAGGCTGGAGTACAGTGGCATGATCTTGGCTCACTGCAACCTCCATCTCCTGGGTTCAAGTGATTCTCCTTCCTCAGCCTCCCAGGTAGCTGGGACCACAGCCATGTGTCACCATGCCTGGCTTTTTAAATTTTTGGTAGAGACGGGATCTCACCATGTGGACTAGACTGGTCTCAAACTCCTGACGTCGGGTAATCTGCCCACCTCAGCCTCCCAAAGTGCTGGGATTCCAGACGTGAGCCACTGTACCCGGCCTCATTGCTTTTCAGTCTGTCTCTTCTACAGTGTTAACAGAAAAGGAAATTCCTTTGTAGAGATTGTAATGAGCTCTTTTCTGCAAACTCAGTTTTTGTCAGTGAGCATCTTCTTACAGAAATATAGGTATTCCTATAATTGATTGCTTTAGGACAAACTTCTGAGCACCTATTATGTTCCAAGGACATAAGTTAAGCTTAATTAGTGAATATTTAAAGAAATGGAAGAGACTCTTGCTGGCTCTGCAAGAAAGAAGAGTCAACAGGTAAACAAAGGGAGTTGAGCTCTGGGCCCTGCCCCCTATTCCAGAAGGATAATCCTGCTTTGATGCATTTCATGTATTAGGGTTCTAAGGAAGATTTGTGAATGATAAAAAGGGTATTGCTGTTGTCAGACAATCACTAATCTACTTTAAAGTCTCCCTTCTGCACGGGAAGACACTATGCTGTAAACAGGTTGAGTGGCTTTTCCCAGACAATTCAGCAGAGCCAGCACTGTGCTTCTCCTGGCTCCTTACGCTTCTTTTTGGAAGCTGGGTAGTCAGGTGCCCAGCAGACGTGGAAATGTTCTTATTCTGAGTTGAAAGCACAGAAAAAAATAAGAATGGTCAATAAAAAAAATAGGTGACTCGTGTCCATAGAGGCTTTATTCCAGTCTTATCCCTTCATTAGCAGAGCATCATAAAGTAATTACATTGAAAGCACATATTTGTTGGTTATACAAAATAGTAATCAACAACAGAGCAATCTAACTGGAAGTCTGCGTGTCCCGAGAGCCTCCGCTGTGTGGTCAAGCATAGACAACCTGGAGTTGTAGCACCAGAGTGATTTCCCTAGGGGTGCCCTAGCAAAGTACCACAGGCCGGATGCCTTAAGACAGCAGACATTCATTGTCTTACTGTTCTGGGGGCTACAAATCTGAAAGCAAGGTGTTGGTAGGGCCATGCTGTCCCTGAATCCTAGGGGAGGGTCCTTCCTTTCCTCCCCTGGTTTCTGGTAGCCCAGGTGTTCTGTGGCTGTGGCAGCATCATTCCAGTCTCTGTCTCCATCTTCACATGGCCATCTTCCTTCTGTGTCTGTGTCTAAAGTTACTTCTTCTTGTAAGGACGCCGGTCATATTGGATTAGGGACCCACCCTACTCCAGTATGACCTTATCTTTAATTACATCTGCAATGACCCCATTCCCAATGACCTCATGTTCTCAGGTACCAGGAGTTAGGATTTCAGCATTTATTTTGAGGAAAACACAGTTCAATCCCTAACAACACACACCTTATAAATAAAGGTATCTGTA